AACTCTCTTTAAACATTAATGACTTCAGGCCGCTTTGTCACTGTAAATTGCTGTCAGTTTGAAAGCTCCTGAAGAGTTCGCTTGTAGCATCTGGTGTTAGAGTGGCATGGACTTACTCTGTTCTGATTGTATGTAGCTATATGTGCCTGTTTGTGGTTCCGTTGTGAATCTGTATATGCGGTTAAAGACTGGACAGAGAGTGGGGGTTGGGGGGGGGGGGGGGGGCAGAGAGTCATAAAGAATGAATGATGTCAGAAGGGTGAGACGCTTCCGGCACTTTCTGCATGAGAGAACAGCCGCCTTACTGTCATGCTGGCCGCCCTCACACACACACACACACACACACAGCCCTGCTCCTCAATATGCTAAATATTGATATATGCTCAATATGCGTTGTGCGTCTCTTAGTATTAACAGATTAATGTTGTTGTGCTGTTTCTTTATTAGTTATTCATTTAACATATGCTTGAAAGCCTGATAATACCCAAGGAAATCCCTCTGTATGTGGAGAAAGGCCTTTAAAGTGATTATAGTGGAACTAAACATGATTTATTTTGCTCAGACTATGGTAATCTGTTTGTGTATGTGTGTTTGAAGCATTGGAACTGTGGTGACACTGAGTTTATTTAAAAGAAATATATTATTGCACACTATAATTATTCACTATAGATTTAGATGCATTTACAATAGAATATAACGGGGGGCAAGACAAGACAAACAGACATAAGGCAAACAGACTCTGGGTTACAGGTGAATACAGAAGACTGAATGGGAATTCAATAAGATGAGATGGGAGTGTTATTTTAAAATCTTCTCGTACCAACTGCTAAGTGTTATTTAAAATGTGCTGCTTATAAATTTCGGTCATGATAATATTACATTTCTTTCTTTGTGAGAAGAATTACACTTTAGCATACTTTTAAAAAGAGAATTTATTTTGGAAATAATGTATTTTTTAAAAAAAAACTTAATTGGGAACTGATTGTAATGTTTTCATTCACTTAATTGCATGTTAATTGCAATTAAATGAAAATGCATTGTTTTAAATGTATATTAAATGCAATTAGCTGAACTTTAGTATGCTTAACTAGGATTTAAGCACATCTTTAGGCTATATTTAATTTAGTATTTATTTGAAATTTTTCTTAATTAAATTTTTTTAATTTAAATTTTTAATTTAGTATTTATTTCAAATTACTTGCATGTCATGCAGTTAAATCTATGTGTAATTACACATTTGTAATTAAAATGAAGTTGCAGTTTAGGACATTTAAAACATGAATATTTGAATGTTGAATAACAGTTAAACTGATAAATCAAGTACAAGTATGTTATATAATATGTTTGTCAACACATCAAAATAAGTATTGTACTTTAATATTTTACTATTGTACAATGATACAAGTGTTGTATGTACGAATGTTGCGGTTATCATTTTTCAGAAAGTTATTATTTTAAAGTCAGAATAACATATCTTACAAAATATACTGTTGGAATGCACAATGAAATGTGATATGGGAAGTATACAATAATGTAAGTGGAATAACAGCATAAATATTCAACAAAATTATATGTACAACACAACATAGTATACACAATCATCTAAATAAAACGAATAAGATGTTATAACTATCATGCTATAAACAACAGCAGACAGTAATAATATCTGCAATGTGAATCTTGCCTAAATAGTCAAATTGTTAGCAGCAAAAAGTCTGGTGGTGTTATAAGGGCATCTCTAGTAACAGCTCAGAGCTATCATCTTCAATGAGCCTCCTCTCCTGGTCTGCTCTTTGTCTAGATTTAGCAAGCCCACTCCAGTGATTTCAGAGCAGATGTCTACTATGGTTTGGAGGCTGTTCCTGCTCTTGATCGTGAGAGATAGCAGCAGACAATGGAGGAGCACAGATTATTCTCAATATCAGAGCTGTAGAAAGGCTTGATGGCTTAATGGAGCATGCTCCACACACACACACACACACCAAAGGGAATGAAACACTTACCCAGGCCAGGAACAATTTAAACATTAACATGTTAACAGTTGAAATGCTATCCAATTCCGGATTATATCCAATAAATATTTACTTGAAGGTCAGTATACGGTTTCCAACTGAGCATGAAGTAAATAAATACAGAAAATGTAAATTAAAACTTAAATTGTTGGTGAGTTGAATTCATGTAATTGCCTCATTTAATTTATTTTATATAGACAAGGATTAATTATAACTGAGCAGGAATCAAACTCTACTTCAACACAGCATCAGAAATATGACCCAATATTTTAGTAATATATTACTTGCTATATTACTTCATATATTTTTGGGATTTTTTGTTTTTTTGAAATCGCAGTCAAATGCCGGAAATCAGAGGCATATTGGTGCTCATTCATGTTAGTGACAATCGCGTTGTGTGTATTATCAAAGACGCGATCTGACAGAAGCGCCAATGCATCATTGATACCAATGAGATATTTAGCATACTAAATATTTGGACCATGTTGTGGACCACGGATCTAACGTTACCTTTGACAATATATATTAATGATTCTCTTTTTACAAGTTTGATCTTTTTTTATCATACATATTTGATTAAATACATAACCAGCCAGTGTTCAAAACTCTCTGCTTGCCTTAGCTCGATTCAAAGCGGTAAGCTTGTAATAATGTTTTAAATTCCAGTGGTACTGGTGGATTTCCGCGGGAGATTCAAGCATGTCTTTGCGTCATTACGTCACATATAAAGAAGAGTCACTGCTAGTAGGCTATATTGCATGTGAGGATGTTGTAGCTGGAGATTTATAGCCTTTTCTCACAGCACTTGATATAATTAAACTTATCATTTTGATGGCGGATCCAGAAAGGTTCAAACGACAATCCCCAGTGACAACAGATTCACCCGCTGTAAAATGCAAAAGACTTCGTTCGGACTTCGGAGTGGCTACAGAAAAAAAAGAGACTGCAAGCGGACCTATGCGAAAACAAGGATACATATCGGAAGGACATTACATGTTGTCACGCAATGCTGATGTTGTCAACATTAACAATTTGAGAAAAAAGTATAATTTGCATGGTTTCACGTGATATGATAACTTATAAATGATTGTTAGATTTAATCAGCGCGATTTACTGGAATGTCAGAACACGAACAAATGTGGATGTTTCTTACTAGTTCAGATGACATTATCCGGTGAAAATTCTTATGTTGGTCATACTTCCAAAAAGTATGAAAGTATGAATCTGTGATTCTGAATGCCAGTATCCACATCGACACAGTTACTGACAGCCTCACAGTCTCCTCAAACATTGTGTTCATCCTCGCTGTGTCGTGTCGAGGGTGTTGAACTACAACTCATGTAAAGTTGATAATTCCGCAAATGACTGCAATTTCACATTTCGAACAGAAGTGGCGACAAAGAGGAAAAACGCCGGACTGCAGCTTTAAAGCATCAGCAGTACAAGCAAGAAAAGAGGACTGCAGCTGACCCGTTCTTTCACACAGTCATGCTATCACATGACTTTCTTATAAAGGATCCTTGCAGCATAATGGGGGCTATTCTATTTCTATCCTGTTCTCCCTCACATTATCTATAAACAGTAGGGGTCTGAGAAGAATATAATAATCTATATGAAACGAAAGACAGACAGAAAATCAAGTGCACAAAATCAACTGTATTTGGCTGCTGAAATAGAGGCACAAGCAAGAGGAAAAAGAACAATGAAAGTGTTTACACACAGTGAGGCTGAGAGATATAAAGTTCTTTGTGAGCGGGAAAGAAAGGAAAGGATATTATGAATGACCAACGGAGACGCTGTAATGGATTTCATGTGGTGTTGTTTATCCCAAGATGCATTTGCATGCCACACACGCAAACACACACTTAGAGGAAGGAGACAGAGAGAGATATGGAAGTCATCAAAAATGTTTAATTGCAAAAGGACCAAACCATTGCCATGTCATCTGTTTCTTTGTGTGTGTGTGTGTGTGTATATGTGTAACTAATTGGTGCTATCAGTCTTTAGTGTACCTTTAATGGAAACTGACATATTAAAGCTGCAGTCCATTTTTTGGGTTAAAAATGATCCAAAATATATATTTGAGAAAATACATGACCAGCCAGTGTTCAAAACTATCTGCTTGCTATCCTTTGCTCGATACAAAGCGGTAAGCTTGTAATAATGTTTTGAATTATTAAAAACTATTCAAAACGATCTGCTTGCTATCCTTAGCTCGATACAAAGCGGTAAGCTTGGAATAATGTTTTTAATTCCAGTGGTACTGGAGGATTTCCGCGGGAGATTCGAGCATCAGAACTACAGAAAAAATGCGAAAACAAGGATACATATCTGAAGGATGTAGTCACGCAATGCTGACGTTGTTAATTAACAATTTGAAAACAAAGTATAATTTGCATGGTTTTTGCTTGATATGATAACTTATAATTGATTGTTAGATTTAATCAGACTTACTGCAATGTCACAACCAGAACAAAGGTGGATGTTTCTTACTAGTTCAGATTTTTTTTCTGTGAAAATTCTTATGTTGGTCATACTTCCAAAAAGAGTAATCTGTTATTCTGAATGGCAGTATCCACACCGGCGGAAACTGACAGCTGCAAACTCTCCTCAAACATTGTGTTCTTCCGCACTGTGCCGCGTCGAGGATGTTGAAGTACAAAGTTGATAATTACGCGAATGACTTCAATTGCAGATTTCGAACAGAGATGGCGACAAAAAGGAAAAACGCTGGACTGCAGCTTTAACTTAATTAATCATGAATACAAGTGAAGACCTATTACTGAATGTGACAGGCAACAAACAGTCCATTATAAACAGACACAATTCCAAGTCATACGTATGCATTTCATTATTATTTCTGTTTATGGCTTATTCTGTTGTTTATGGCATCCATTTTGTGTTGTGTGATCTTTGTGAAAGTGATCTTTGTTTAATGTTCTGTCTAATGTTTATTTGTTTTCTCCACAATGCTTCCTCTACAATCAGGAGGTGGAGGTTTGTATGATTGTGCCTTTGTTTTTCCATTGAAACAGAGTCTTGCTAATCTGCCTGTTTGTCTGCAAGGAAATCCTTCCAAGTTTACGTTATGTGCTGTAGTTGCATGATAATATGTGCAACGTACTTTGAATGTAACTGCTTGTGAGTACATGTTGAGCTGAATGTGTAACTAAAAGGCAATGTAAATGTGTTATGTATAAAAAAAAAATATGTACTTGCGTAGTTCAGAGAGAAAAGATTACTTTATGTACAATGGCATATCACATTTCAGAAGAGAAAACCAATGCAGACTGTTGATTAATTCTGTTGATAAACTTCTGTTTTAGGAACCAGGAACATGGAGCCCAGCAAAACCATTCGATCAAGGTAGGACTGTTAACCAAAAAGAGCAACATCATAGTGTTTTTCATGTGTTCAGAGTTCAAATCAAAGAAAACTCTAAAGCTAAAGTGTGTCATTTTTTGTTGTTTTAGTAAAATTCTTTGTCCTTACCAGCCAGACTCAGCAACAACTGCTTAACCAATGGCGTGAGTTTAAAGTGTTACTATTTGTTTAAACAGTGAAGGATTAATGATTGTTCATTGTTAATACATTTAAAAAAATGCAAGAAGTCCAAAGTCAGTTATTGCACTTTGTTTATCGCAAAAGTTTTTGGTCTTGTGTGCACAACTTCTTTCTAACATCACTCATTAAGCAGCCTAAAATGCAATTACTAGTTTGAAAGCAACAACCAAATCCACGCTATTTTCAAGCAGTTATTGGAGTAACAAGTTTGTGTGTGTGTGTGTGTGTGTGTGGTATTCCCTTCGATAGTAAAATCTAAAAAAAAAAATTACATTATGGGGGAATTTCGGTCCCCACATGAGGAAAACAGTTCATAACTATATGTGTACCAAATGTTTTTTTCAAAATGTTAAAACGCTAAATGCTTTCTGTAAGTTTTAGGGTTAGGAGATTGTACATTATTAAAATCATAATGGCTGCTGAAAATTTGGCTTTTCCATTACTGGAATAAATTACAACATTGTACATATTAAAATATATTAAAGGGGACATATCATGCTAAATCCACTTTTTTAGCCCTTAAATGCATTTTGTTGTATATTTGTCGTGTTTATAAGTACAGGAAAGTTGAAATTATTCTCTTCAGGTGATTTGTTTATATCTTTATATTCTGTTTTGGTCATTTGGTCTGTTTTCTATTTTGCAACCTGTTCCGTTTTTCCGTTTTCTATGACGTATTTTGAACAATTACGTCACAGTATTTGCAGCGGAACTGCCAAATAAAGACATCGACTACCAACACTTTGAGCAATCCGCCATTTTTATTTCTCAGTTAGTGGATAGTTGAGGCAGTATTAGTATTTCTCTTGCTTGAGTCCTTCTGAAATGAACATGATTTTCATAGGTACATTCTTTATATAAAAAAAATGTGCTTATGTAGACGGCTCTGTAATTAAATAATTTTTATAATTAAACTTTCATTTCAGAAATAACATAAACGTCTGTCAAATAATCTGTATAAAAGATTCAACTGTCCTGTGGTATAGGGATACTTTATGAATAGGGTTTGTGCTTATAGGCAGTAAGAACGTCTCAGGTTACAACTGTAACCCTAGCTCTCTGAGAAAGGGAACGAAATGATGCGTCAATGACTCTTTAGGAATGCCCCCAGCATGAATGCATCTGAAGCATCTATGTCAACTAGGGATGCACCGAAACCATCTTCAGAATCGATCCGATACGATTCAAAAAAAGTTCTGAGTATCGACCGATACCGATCCGATACCAGCGCAATTTTTTTTTAAACTCTGTTTTGAACTGATAATAACTCTTTTGTGTGTTATTGTCACACACACACACACACACACACAATTTCATTATAAAGATAAACAACAAATCCAAAAAATATATGATCATAATCAATGAAAAAAAATGCTATTATAAACTAGATTAGTTTATAATACACATTGCTCTTTGTATTGTTGTAAAATACATTCATGAAAAACAAGATAACAAAAATCAAGAAGATACTGTAAATCATTTTAGATATAGCCAAGGCTACTATAAAATTGAGACATGTTTTAAATGTATAGCACATCTGTTTAATGAGGCAGCAACATATGATAGATAGGACAGAACAAGAAAGATAGTGAAAGCTGTGAGACTATTAATAAGCTTTAATTGCGTTGCATTTTGCTGCATTTTGATACGAAAGGCTCCAATACAGTGCGGCACAAAACGCTTATGCACATCCTGAGCGCAAAATGATGTGCTTGAAGCAACATGGAGTTACAGCGCGCAGCACGTTGAGTCCGTATTGAAAAGTTCAAAGCACAAAGGAAATTGGCTACATATTGATGGACAGTGTATTATACAGTATCTATCTGTGCAATAGTTTATTGAGCCTTTTCTTTTAACAGTTTTAAATTTATAGTGCTCTGATTATATACTCTAGTGCTGTGATCTAACCGACAGTGTCCAACACCCGGTAGAAAGTAACATGATTAAGTAACAGCAATAAAGTCCAACAAGATAAAGTTGTTTTATGCGAAACCATAGACCTTTATCTACAGATCAAGTATAATAATATTAACATTGAACCACCTTAAAGATAATTTTTCATCATTGACTGTAACCGAACACGACACACTGTTTGAATGCTGAATGGAGAATGAGAGCCGCAGCGGAGGGAAAAGTTTATGTGAACTTGAATTTAATGACTTAAATATTAATTTCTATCTCACATAATGGCTTCAGAACACTTATAATAGAGTGCACGAAAATTTATGGTACTTTAGAATGTTTTTATTTTTGCCTTTTGTGGGGCTTAAAAATAACACAGAATAGTATACGCACAATATCGGATTTGGACCGGCCTCGTCTGATCGATACCCGATCCGGCAAAAATGGCAGTATCGAAGCCGATACCGATCCTGAGTATTGGATCGATGCATCCCTAATGTCAACTAGTCCATTAGAAAGAATGAATGTCACGGGCGGGTGACGTCATGAGCAGGAAGAGATAAAAGCACATCTGGTGCAACCGGCATTAGCTTCGAAAATTGCAGAAGCAAGTCAATCACAGGGATGCAGGACGTATGGCAGGGTGACGAATCATCTCGTTCCCTTTCTCAGGGAACTAGGGTTACAGTCGTAACCTGAGACATTCCCTTTCGAGGGAACTTGCGATGCATCCATGACACTTTGGGAATGAGAATACCCAAATCGGCAAACTTACAAATGTCTGAGTGTCAGCCTGTTGTCAGAACTACACTAAGCACTAAGCACCTGACACCCTGGGGCAGCGTCCAGGTCCAGGCTATAAAACCTCACGAATGTGAGCAGTGAGGACCAACCCGCTGTATCAGAAATGTCTTGGAGAGAAACCCCAGATAATAAGGCTTTAGAGGCCACCTCCTACTGGAATGAACACTGACCACCAAAGGGGATGGCTGGTCAGAGTGCTCTCACTACAGTGCTCACTTCACACAAGAGGTTCAGCTTTTCCTGGTCCAAACTAGTAAACAAAGGAGGACAGAAAGCCTGCAGCACAATAGGCTTTGGAATATTGGTCGGCACCATAGGGACGTATCCCTGTTTATGGTATAAGATTGCCTTGACCATCCCGGGTGCAAACTCAAAGCAGGTTGGAGAAACCGAAAGGCCCTGAAGGTCTCCACCTCTTTTGAGGGACAAAATAGCTAGCATAAAGATGGTCTTAAAAGTAAGACATTTTTCTGAAACCGAATCTAAGGGTTCAGATGGAGCCTCAGATGGAGCCCCAGACAGGCCTTCTAGAACTATTGCAAGGTCCCAAGCCAGCACCCTAGTGCGAGTTGCAGGCCTCAGCCTCAAGGTGCCACCAAGGAAACGAGTGATCAGGTGGTCTCGACCCTAAGATGTACTACCCACTGGGGCATGGAAAGCCGCAATGGCCACCACGTAGATCTTAAAGGAGAACTCTGGTGCAAAATGAACCTTTGGTCTAATAAAACATTGGTACCTAGTCAACCGTTCTCTGAGATTTGTTTTCATGATAATCGAATGTAAAGAGTTTTATCTCTAAAAACTGTTTAACGTATAATGCTAGTACTGGGGGCATTTACAAAGTAAAAAGAAATCACTAGTTTATACCACTAACAAGGATCAAAATAGCCCCACACTAACACAGTAACATAATGAGCGTCCATACATGCAAAACGCAGCATTGAGAACTTTGTAAGTGTACAGATCGTTTAATTAGAAGATACTTTATAAAGACAGTTGACTTCGTGTATACAGTCGGTGCCATCTTTGAAAAACAGTCACGACAAATCAAACCACGTGCTGAGTGATCTGAACTGTATGAAGTTCAGCGAAATTCTGAACTGTATGAACAGCGTTTGGGGATCGATTTATCGAGACTATTTTCTAAGATGGCTCCTGTCTATTTTTTGATCAGACTAAAATAAACTGGTAGGCTAAAATATAAAAAATATTCTTCTAATCTAAACACCTTTTGAAGTCTTTATAGCCCTGAGGCTGCGTTTCAGATGAGATGACTATGTAGATTAGTTTCCTCTCAACGTGGCCACAATTTTTCTGCACAACTTGCCATGTTGAGATGAGAACATCTCAACTTTTCAGAATGCCGCAAGCTCACCGCAGTTCATGGAAAGCCCTCAGCGCAGTTCATGGTTGCATAGCAACGACAGATGCAAGTGCTTTTGGAAAGAAGGAGAGCGGTGCAGCCGCACTTTCCAGGCATTTTTAGACGCGATATGTGAATGGCCCCTTACACAGTACCTGCATTTGTGACACTTCTTCTCTATTGAAGCCAAAAGACTTGGGATGTCTGAAATTAAATAAAGTCATTTATCGCACCTCTCTGCGATACAGATATTGCATAAACTATTATCGCGATGACGATAATTTTTCGATACATCGTGCAACCCAACTACCATGGTATGAAGGCAGGCTCCGCCTTGACCTGCTGCCTTATATGCTTTGCCCACTAAATTGTCTTTAATGGCTAAGTGGGCAAAAAAACAGAACACATTTAGCAAAATATGCCATAACCATCAACAAATTATTTAAAAAATAAATAAATCCATGTACACAACATTTAGAGAAAGAGATAGTAAAATAAATACAACACATGGTTGCTATGGAAACACTGACGCACATTGTGATCTCCGTAGCTCTCACACTTGTCGTATTAATGACTTTTACGCGAAAACGTAAGGTGATGTGCTTCTCACGGTGGTGATTATTATTAGTCTACGAAGAGTCAAAATGCCGCCACTGCTCCGATTTGAATGAGTCAACACCTATGCTTGCCGTCGCCATGTGTTTGACAGCGCGTGCACACAGTCTATGGCGGAGCAAACCAAGCGTTTTCAGTTCATTACTATGAGTGCTCACACAAGCTCAAGTTCCTTAGGAATGAAGTGAAAACACTCGCGAGGTTCGCGCCAGTGTGTGCTCGCTGCTATTGTGCCTGTAAAGCGAGGTTCACAGCTTCACAGTAGTAAACGCCCCTGCTGTTTAAAACGTGTATCACGATTCGTTTAACATTCAATAGACTTGAATCGTCACACATTTTTATCGATTTTCAACCGGTTGCGAGTGAATCGTTACATCCCTAGACAACAGTAAATATAACAGACAGTTTTGACACAGATCGCTTGCTGAGGCAACAAAAGCTAATACCGGTTGCGCCTGATGCACTTTTATCTCTTCCTGGTCATGATGTCATTCTTTCCATTGGACAAGTTGACATAGATGCTTCAGACGCATTCACACTGGGGGCGAATCCAAAGCGCTATCGACGCATCGCGAGTTCCCTCAAAAAGGAACAAAATAGGCCATGATATCTCAACTTTACAACTTTTTTTTTTTTTTTTACCATGATATTATTAGTAGAAATGGCATAAGAATTGCCTTAATGATGAAAATGTTTTTATGTTATAAGCTACTCATTTTATTGAAGTCATTGGAAATGGAAAGATCTGTATCTCTTCTCCTTTGAGCCATATGATGAGTGAATGGTAATCAGGCATATGTGTTGTGTGAATTCACAGTCACATGCTGTGGCCTAATACCCATATCATCACGCTACATCCATCTGAGAAAATTAGAAAACTGCTTTTTAAGACTCTCTATCACATCAAGCTCTCAGTGTGCAGTAAATCTTACGAGATTAAGCATATTTGAAAGTCATTAGAAGCCCTTGAATATTCATCACGAGTTTGATATTTATGCTAATGACTATTGATAGAGCATTGAGTGAGTCAAAAAGAGCAAGTAGAGCAATTTAAAACGGATTCTGATTATACTCGGACATGATGATGCTTAAATCAATCACAAATTTTGTCACACTTACACAACCTCACACACACACACCCACTGACAATAGACTCAGAGTGTGCTGAGGAGATTGGGATTGGATAAGCCCTAAAGCCTGTGCAGGATTTGACTAAGGCTCTTACCATGTGAGGTCAGAGAGCGTCCGAAGTGTGGTTGTGTGTGTGTGTGTGTGTGTTTGTTTTCACAAGGGACAGGTAAAGGATGAGAATGTTTGTGAGATATTGTATTTCTTCCTCTGTGCACATGCACGAGCCTCTAAGGAATATAAAGGCACTTAATGGAATTAGTAGTGTTTTTTCCTTTTCTACTCTTTCTTCCCTTTCTCTCTCTCACTCTCTCTCTCTCTCTCTCTCTCTCTCTCTCTCTCTTTCTTTTCAACTCAGAGCATTAGCTTCAGCCCTATTTTAAGGCTATAATAGAAATAGAATCCTTATTTACACACTTAGTGAAATCAGGCAGATCATACTTAGCATCTATAACTGTGTTTCTTTCATGTATTTTTGTTTTAATGCTGCACATTTTTGTTAAGAACAACTGATTCTAATGATTTTTGGAGTTAAGTGGTTTTAGTTAAGAAGTTAAGGGCATCTGCTGTTCAGTGGGCAAATCCACTAAAGAGTTACGCCACTTTTGCATGCATTAATTCTGTGCAAAAACCTGCGCATTGTTTACTAACCACCACCAATCCAGCTTAACCAGGTGCTAATGTAGCGCTTAAAGTCTAGTTCACCCTTAAAGTCTTGCTCACTCAAAAAAGAGAATTGCTCATCCTCGAGTCATTCTAAAGTTAATCTTCGAAAAACAAATGAAGACATTCTTAATTCAACCAGAGAGATTTCGGTCCATCTGTTGAACTTCAAGCATCAAAAATACATTGTAAAGGCATTGACATACTGTAGAGTTGAGAATTGACCCCTACTGTAGAGGGTTTTCAAACTGTGGGTCGCAGAGTGGGAAAATGGTGGGTCACGCAAAGTCACTTGGCTGCAGATAAATTTGCGTGTCAGTGAATGACACACACACACACACACACACACAAAAACAGTTAGTCTAGAGGGCTGCATGATATACCACCATCAAATAGAAATCTCAATTTCCTAATGTTTTATAGTATAGTGCACATGCGACTAGTAAAAACGTTTCCTGCGTCTCAGAGCGGCTCGAATCTTTATTAAGCGGTTTGGTGTGCATTATTAACAAGAAGAAACTTGTTAGAATTCAAATGTCACAAAAGGCAGTTTCAGGTCTGTTCATTCAACTCTGTCGTATGTTCAACTCAGCGCTCTTGTCTTTCAGAGACATGGTCTTAAGAGTTTGTTCTTTGCATTCCCTCATGTGCATTTGGCTACCTATTGTACCAACACATAGGGAAAATATAGGGATTACATAGGGATTACTTTTACGATGTATTTATCAACATTTTGAAGCATCAGAGTTGGACTTTTAATGATGGATAGGACAGAAATCTCATATTCTCAAATCATCAAAATCTCAAATCATTAAAAATATCTTTCGTTGTGTTTCAAAGATGGACATAAGTTTTTATATATTTTATTTGGATTGGAACACCATGAGGGTGAATAAATGATGACAGACTTTTCAATTTCTTACTTCTGCTGAACACAAAAGAAGATATTTTGAAGAATGCCAGTAACCAGTTGATGGACCCCATTGACTTAAATAGTACATTTTTGTGTGAACTATCCCTTAAGCCATGTAATTGTGTTTAGTTCAAACACACATCCTTTATATGTAGATTAGGCTTATAGATTTTGCTATGTTTAAAAAAACACAATTAATTTCTAGTATTTCAGGTGCTGAAATAACGCAAACAGCATGTGCATCAGTGTGCACACTTTATTCTTAGTTGATTCTTAGCGAAGCATACAGTATATCTAAATATAACAACTATGTTTATCTGTTTGTATACATATACATGTCTATTTGTTTATTTTTGTGTGTGTTTCAGCTCTGGACCCTGCCAAAGATCCATGCCTCAAGATAAAATGTGGCCGCCATAAAGTGTGTGTGGCAGAAGATTACCAAACACCCACCTGTGTTAGTCAACGCAGGATGAGGTAAATATCTGACTCCCAGTTATAGCTCATTACCAAAACAGTAGTAAAAACAGTGTACAGGCGTGGACAAAAAGATTGGCACACTTGCTGCCATGCTTGGATCTGTGTATTGTATGACATCTTGAATTACATAAACATTTTGGAGCATTAGAAAGCTACGTCTCAGTCAAAGATCAACAGTTCACCAAACACCCAGGAAGGGTTGAAAACAAAACACTGGGGGCCCTATCTTACACCCTGCGCAATGCAGCGCAAGCGCAATGTAAGTGTTTTTTGCAAGTTTCAGAGCAGTCATCATTTTCACGTCCTGAGCCACGTTATTTAAATAGCAAATGCATTTGTGCCCATTTGCATGCTGGTCTGATATGCGCGTTTATATTTTGAGGTAATTGAAATAGACTGCGCCTGGTCTAAAGTATTATTATTTTTTTGTTATTTAAAGAGCATGTGCTCCGATAGGCAGGTCCACAACGCGCATACTCTCTACTTGTTAAACACACAAGGATGCACAGCAGCACACAAACATTCCAAATCTTTAAAATAAAAGGATTACAATGTAAAAGATTATTATTTTGTACATAAAGATATGGTGGAATCCGGCTTGTCCTGCTGATCTGCTTGCGCACTTTTACCTCTAGCACAAACAGATCCGTTTGCGCTCTGGAGACGTGTTCGGTCTTTCCACTATCAAATTCCGTCATGTAAATAGCGAATCCACCATGGCACAAGCGCAGCTGGCATTTAAATGGAATGGGAGATGAGACTCTAATTTTTGCACATAAAGCCCAAAACACACCCATTACTCATTAAGAGAATAGGGACAGACAGGCCTTTTAGACCATGCGCCTGGTCATTAAACTAGTAAAAGTGGAGTAAAAACAACTGCACTTGCGCCCTGTGCTTTAGACCATATGTTAACGTGTTAAAATAGGGTCCTGAGTGGAAAGCAGTAAGTCCAGAATTAATTTTTACTGAATACCATTGGAGAAATCCAAAAACAGCAGTTTTGAAGACAGTTTTTAACAAATGCACTGAATGTCATTAGAGGCTTTGGAACTGTTTAATAGCTGTTCCACCAAATATTAAATCAGTGGTGCCAATAATATGGTATAGCTTTCAGTTTGTATTAAGTCCATATTTTTTTCCAAGCCAGGTCCACTGCAAACTAAACAAATACATGTGTGGATAACAAAGGATGTTTTATTTAGAAAAAGAAATGTGCTAATATTTTAGGTCACAACTGCAATTGATTTTGTTAACATTGCGGTAGCATTTTGGAATGTATTTTATATATATATATATATATATATATATATTTGCACATTTGATGTTAAGTATTTAAAAAAAAAAGCTTTTGATAGGAAACAAGGGCTGTCCTATGTTCTTACCCAGTCAACCTATCCTGGAACTAACAGGGCAAACTTGCCTGCCAAAGTCTGGGAATTAGTTGTTCTGAGAGAGAGCGAGAGTAAGTGAGTGTGTGTGTGTGTGTGTGTGTGTGTGTGTGTGTGTCTGAGGTGAAAACATGGCACAGAGTGACCTGAATTTTTACAAACAGTGATTGTTGTGATGAAACTAATCATTTAGTGAATTGGGGGGCGATAGCATTAAACAAATGTTGTTCTTTTTAAATGGCCCAATGAAACAGACAAAGAGGGATATTGAAAAGAAGTATCACAGAAATCAACAGAAAGAGAGAAAAATACATAACAGAGGTATGGGAAAAAACAACATTGGATTCTCAACTGGTGGGTCACAACCCAAAAAGGGGTCACAGGTATGTTATATAGGGTTATGGGCAGGTGGGAAAAACCAATCTCACATAATAAAATGCATCTTATTTAATTGTGTAGAGCTAGACATTTAAAAAAAAAAAAGATCAAACTCTTAAAAAGAGAATCATTCAAATACCATGTCACAGGTAACATTAGAACAGTGGTCCACAACATGGTCCAAATATTTAGGGCCAATCCCAATTCTACCCCTTACCCCTTCCCTTTCCCCTAGCCCTACCCCTTCGCCTTCCCCTTGACCCTTGAAACAGAGTGGCAATGCGTAGGGGTGAAAATATTCCCCTAAGAAATGGGACACCACTACGCCTCCGTTAAACGTCATTATAAGTCGTCGCTAGCGCCTACGTCACAGGAGATGCGCCGATGTTTATCACAACTTCCAAGATCGCGTCGACAGCTACAGTTATCTCAGTCGCGTGGGTTACAGTTATTTTCTTGCATCTTGTGAAGTTCGCAGGAAACAACGGAGACGACGAAAATATGTTGCGGGACTATCGTTAGCAAACTACAGTAATTTTAGCGATTTTTTTTTTTTTTTTTACAAACGTTTCTGTGAAGAAACTGACAGTGATTATGAACACAATATTGAATGTAACATAAAGCAAATCATTATTTGTCGTTATAATACTTATTAAAGCCACAAATACTTAAATTTATGGGTCTCCTTTGTCGCTTGGGCAGCCAGCCTGGGTTAGCAGTGACACTTCTCATACCCCTTCGTTTGAAGTGTGCTCCCGAAAAATCTTCGTTTGAAGGGCTATCTGGCCCTTCACCCTAGCCCTCCCCCTCCAACCAAAAGAGAATTGGGACAGCCCTACCCCTTCACGTGGACGCGCAAAACGGAGGGGAAGGGGAAAGTGAAGGGGTAAGGGGTAGAATTGGGATTGGCCCTTAGCATGCTAAATATTTCATGTGTATCAGTGATGCATCAGTGCTTCTGTCAGATTGCGTCTTTGATAATAGACACAACGCGATTGTCACTAACATGAATGAGCACCAATATGCCTCTTTTTTCCTGGCATTTGACTGTGATTTCTACAAAACTGTAGGCGAGTGAAAATCAAGCCTAAAATGGTGCAGTGTGTACCCGGCCAACAAAACTATTAGACGGAAATTAAATTGTTACTTGGTAGAAATTAGACAAAACAAAGAATCCTATAACTGCAATACAGTGCTGGTGTGAAGGTGTGATCAGCAGTGGCCGCAAGCATTACAGCTCACAACTGCTGTTTTCACAGCATTGCTTGTGTGTGTGTGTGTCTGTCGGTGGGAGTTATTTTTTCTTTTTTATATTTTTTTGTTTTCAACTAAAAGAGCACACAAGTGTGCCCCTGTGTCCTTTTCAGGATGTCATTCCACTTGTGCGTTTCTGGATGTGGTCGTTCTCTGGCGCCAGCAGACGGCCACAATAGTTGCCTCTCATGTTTGGGCATTCAGCACGCTGCACACATTCAGCCCATTGCGGGAATATGACTATGACAGTGCTGAGATTGAGACTCGCTTACCTCAAGGGAGGGGCAGTCCCCTCGCCTATGCCCCGATCTAGTGTCTATTCTGGACCTCAGAATAGACCTACTTCTGTGCATGGTCAGGGTGATTTGAGGATTACCATGAGGGTTTCCCCACTGAGGCAATCTCCGTGGGTCCCTCACGCCTAACAAGCGCTGCCGACGTTGGAGCCTCCAAAGGAATGCGCTGGTCCTTCTCATGATCGACCAGCCATGTCCTTTGGAGTTCCACCTGACGACCAGATGTCTATAGCAGCATCGGAAGGGGAGCTTCAGTCCTCTGGAGATGAAGATTCAGCTGCGTTACCCCCTTCGGGGAGTGTAGTGTTGCCCGAGTCTGATCCAGAATAGACGGCTATGCTTTCCTGGGCCGCCGAGAAGATTGGGCTTGTGTGGAACCCCCGACAATGTCCCGAACCTTCTCGGTTGGACAATTGGTTTCTCGGGGCGGGCCATGCTGGTTCTCATCGCGCCTTCCCAGTAACATTCTTTCCAGAAGTGCATGAGGAGCTTACTAGGACGTGGACGGCACCGTATAGTGCCAGTATAGTGCCCAGTGATGCGCGGGTTGATCCGAAATGAGCGGGTGCCTGCGGTCACCCGCGGTTACCCGCAGTTACGGGTCATCCAAAAATGTTTTTAATGATATTCGGGTCGCGGTCGGTCGGGTCGTTTGAAAAAAGATGCCAATTAAACATTTGTATTAATATAGTACTAGACACAATTTTTGATGAAATATAAAGCCCTACACATTATTGGCTGAATAACTGGCACGAAGATAACACACGAGCTCAGTCTAAACAGTTCTCGGAGTCGGTTCTATACTGATGATTCGAGAACTGTTGTCTCTGTGCGTTCGGTATACACGCAGTATCTATGCGCAGTATCAGCTGCTCGTGCTCATCTCATCACTTCTCTCAACAGTGGCACAAACATGTCTCGGTTGGTTCAGTGAAATGTTGGAGTTACTGGAGTAAAATATAATTCAGGATATTGATTTATTTGGCATGGCATGGTCAGGCATGTCTGAAAGTGAGTAACTTTAGTAACTTGTGGATCAGCACTGACACAAGACGCGAACTGTTTCGAACGATTCAGTTCGATTTAGTGTACTGGTTCGACCGGTTCACTAAAAAGAACCGGTTCAAAAGAACGATTCGTTCACGAACCGGCCATGTCTATGATCACTACAGTCTGCAGAGAGATGGAGGCGGCAAGAGAAAAGGTGAAGACTGGGGAGTGGAAGCTCCGCAAATACACAAATAGAAAGAGTAAAAGTGTGGGAGACATTTGCTGAAATAATGAAAGATGATGAACAAAGTGCTGGCTTTGCCTTTGTTATGTGTAGGCCTCTTACGATGCTGTGTTGTTACACATCTATGGCCCAATAACGCTCCGATGAGCATTTACTACTTTTAAAAAATGCGGTCACGAAGTGGGTCGGGTACAATATTTTTTTTTAACTTTTTTTTGCGGTCCGAGTTGTGGGCGGGTAGTTGAAAACGTCGGTCGGTTGCGGGTTGTTTATACATTGACCCGCGCATCACTGATAGTGCCGTATAATCCTAGTGGCTCCTTACTACCTTTGACGGCGGAGCAGCTAAGGGGTATGTCGATGCCCCGCCGGTGGAACGTGCCATCGAGATGCAACTGTGTCCGGTTGTCCGCTTCCTCCTGGTGGGGCAATCCACGCCTCCCGTCCAAGGCATGTAAGTTTTTGTCCGGTCTCACGGTGATGGCTTACAGATGCTGCTTACAGAGGCAGGCCCAGGCACTCATGGACATGAACGAGGTTGGTGCTTGTGGTGAGCAGAACTGCCGAGGGACTTGAGAGAAAGTCGCGAGGCCGGTGGTGCAATTGTTAATGAGCAGCACCTGTGCAGCACACCGGTCTCGCGACTTTCTCTCACGTCCCTCGGCCGTCCTGCTCACCACAGTGCTCCTCCGGGACTGACCTCGCTCTCAGAGTGGCGAAAGAAACCTCACATTCAGTTGGTTAGGCGATGTCCACCTTGGTGGTCCAGGAGCGCCACCATTGGCTCAACCTGGCAGACATGAGGGATAAATATTGGTTCCTTGATGTCCCTCTCTCCCAGGTTGGGTTATTCTGCGACGGGGTTTGAGAGCTTTGCCCAACAGTTCTCAGCCGCCCAGGAAGCAGACGAAGGCCATCCGACACATCTTGCCCCTGCGGACCGCTGCTGCTCCCATCCATCCGCCGGCCGCAGACCCTCCGTCTGCTCGTCACCGAGGTCGACCTCCTGCGGTGTCTTCCGCTTTCGATAAGCCTCAGTAGCAGCAGCTACCATCCAAGCCTCAGTGTGAAGCAGACCACAGGAAATTGACCACGCCTGTCCAGGCCTCTGCCAAACCAGGAGGCAAGCACAGGTGCAAACGACCCTGAGACAGGTGACCCAGAGGTGGACCAAGTTGCTCTTCAGGAGATGGTGAGGGCACCGTTCCTTCCCCCGGTGGAGGGCCAGGCAGAGAAACTTTTGTTTCCCTTTCCTTCTGTTCCACCATTGACCCACAGTCCAGTGGTACCCACATTTTCAACAAAAGAGTAATTTCTGAAACCTCTGGGTCCCAAGAGGGCACACTTGGCGGTCGACGACGCTATGCCTTGTCACCCTCAAGCCCCTCTTTCATTGCCAGTGAGCAGCAATGGTTGTGTTCCAGACGCACTGACACTTCCAAACACTCACTCTGCCCTTCGACGGAAGCAGGCAGGCCATTGCTCCCATGTGCGAGCGTGGCGAATGCGAACACCACAGTGTTCTTTCAGCTTGTGTTTGAACCCTTCACACCACGCTGGTGGTTGAGGAGATTCCCCCCTCTATGTGAAGCCTTTTGAGTGTCCAGAAAGGTGCTATATAAATGTAATGAATTATTATTATTATTATTATTATTCTCAACTACCTCGACGACTGGCTTATTCTCACCCAGTCGAGAAAGCTGTTGTGCGAACACAGGGATATGGTGCTCAGTCACCTCAGCCACCCAGGGCTCTGGGTCAACTGGGAAAAGAGCAAACTCAGTCCTAAGCAGAGGATCTCTTTTCTCGGTATGGAGTTGGACTCGATCAACATGACAGCTCACCTCACCGAGGCCGGTGTCCAGTCAGTGTTGAACTGCGTGAGCATGTCAACTGCCACATCTGCCACATCAAAAGACACGTCTCAACTGCCACATCAAAAGACACATCAACTGCCTTGAGTTGTTAGCAGTACATCTTGCGTTGGGCCGCTTCAAAACGCCGCTACAAGGCAAGCATGTACTGGTCCGTACGGACAGCACTGTCTGCAACCGTTGCATACATCAACCATCAGGGTGATTTTCAGGCACTTTGGGGCCGCACAGACAGATCGGTTTGCCGCCCCGGACACTTCTAACTGCCAGTTGTTCTATTCCCTGACTGAGGGGACCCTCGGCACGGATGCCCTGGCACACAGCTGGCCCCCGGGCCTATGCTAATATGTATTTCCCCCAGTGAGCCTTCTTGCACAGACCTTGTGCAAGGTCAGGGAGGACAAGGAGCAGGTCTTGTTAGTTGTGCCGTATTGGCCCAACCAGTCCTTGTTTCCTGTGTTTAACTAGTGCTTCTTGCGACAGCCCCTCCTTGGCCCTTTCCTCTGAGAAAGGACCTGCTCTCTCAGACAGGGCACCCTATGGCATCCGTATCCAGACCTCTGGAAACTCCACAGACGGTAAAACATTGTCCGACTGTTCGCTTCATTTCACTGAGGATTGTTTTGTAAACAAGACTGGATTTGCTGACAGCTGAAGAACGATGCAGTTGAAGGGAAGTCGTTGCTGAAGAACGGTGCTGTGCCGTCTGTATTGGATCTGACAGGAATTGTGCAACACACAGACTCTGGGTCGAACATGTATGGTCGAATCATTCCGGTTGCCATTTTACAACATTGGACGTTTTCAAAACAATTTCCCCCAAGTGCAAAGACGGGTGAGTTGAAACTCATTATAATATGCAAAATTTTATCCACTCACAGCAGTGGGCATCTGGGGCGTAGCCAGTATTGGGCCAGGGCGGCACTGGCCCACCCACACTACTCACTGGCCCGCCCAGGCAAGTTTGATACAAATACATTTTTAGTTTATTTTTATAATTCAAATGTATTTAAGAAAATATATTAATATACCTAATTTATTGTTGACGGCTGTGTATGTTTAATTCGTTTTGCTGAATAAAATGCTACTGTCGAAGCAAGTTGTAGAAAGCCTCCCTCCGGAACGTTATTGGTTGCTATGGTTGCATGGGGTTCCGAATCCGATAGGAAAACTCTCGGCGGCGCCATAATAATGGCTAAACAACTTTTTTAAATATGCTATTTGGAAAAAGCAAGAGTTGAGGAAGAAGACACGCCACTGCCTTCATCTATCAAGTCCACCCAGCCAGTTCTTCAGACTCATTAACCCACAAGAAGACTAGTCAGGTGCTGGCGGCGGCCGCTTCTCTCTCCCTCTCTCCCGGTCTGCCTGACGCGGGTTTACCCGCCGATCTAACTGCGTCTGCGATATTATTATTTTAGCTTACTTTATTTTCGGGTGAACTATCTTTGCACTCCTGACTAGCCTGAATAAAATAGACAAGTTATTGTCTACATACTGGTTTGTCCAGCCTTTATTGAGCTCTGTTGGTTGAACATGATGATTTGCAGAATATAAAGGTGTTCCTGTTTTTGCAGTTTGTCTATACATTTTTTGCTACTCTCTACAGTTAATTATTACTGAAGTATTTTTTTTCTATGAAAACCTATTGGCCCACTCACATTTTCACTGGCCCACCCAAAATACAATTTCTGTCTACGCCACTGGTGGGCGTTTACTTCCAAGTCTTCAGTGCGAGACGCCCATAAAAACGGAGCGTTTTTCAGCTAGGCTCAAAACGAGAGTACAAAATAGCCTTAATTCTTATTCATTTTGATGTTTTTGAATGCAGAAACCAAGCAAATAAGTTGACCTCGGACAACAATATAATAACATTTTAAAAATCCAGTTCATGACCCCTTTAAACTAGGTGAGCAAACCAGTGCAGTAGATGATAGTAGGAATAACTGAACAATGACTGAACAATGGATGAAAAAAGGCGGCATTTCTGCAATATTGTTTTGCTTCTTTATTGTTTGTATTAGAAGTGCAATCTCTCTTTCTGTCTGCAGTTTAAAGGACATGAATTTGAACTCACCACTGCTAAAGTGCAAAAGATGTCCAGTTGTGCACCCTGCACCTGTTTGTGGAACAGATGGGCACACTTACTCCACCAAGGTAACACACACGCTGCCTGTTTGTGAGAACTGCCACGGTGTGTGTGTTTGTGTTTGTCTATATTGTCTGAATTGCTTTTCATAATGCTGTGTCACGGAGGTATTCAACCAAGAGATTAATTCTCGATCAACAATGTACTAATCTTATCTAAGCTTTATGTGCGTGTCTGTGTTTGTGTGTGTTGTAGTGTAAACTAGAATATCAAGCTTGCATCTCTGGGAAGCAGATTTCTGTGAAGTGTCCAGGACAGTGTCCCTGCCTTTCAGGAAATACAGCAGAGAAGAAAGGTACAAGCACTTTTTCGATGCAGTTCATTTCTATTAGGCCTATAAATACTTGCACACAAACACTGCTTTTGTGTAGAACGGACTATGTGCACTGATTATTGCATACACAGACTGACATAAAGCTCCAGGCAGGTGAGTTTTTATCAGGGTTGCTGGACAGTGACCCTTCAGAACCTAAGTTGCCCTTTCCTGTTGTACAGTTTTGCATTTAATATGAATTATGGATATGATAAACCTACAGGTCAATGATTAATAAGATTCTAGTTTAAAACATGCAAAGTTCTTAGAAGTATATTTTATATTCATGTTAATTTAGAAAACATTTTAAAGAAAATGTTTCATTTAATGACACTAAAAAAGTGTAAACAACGATAGCATTTTACCCTCAAACCTTAAATACATTAGAGTGTACACACCTTATAAAAGTTTAAATGTACACTTCCCTTAAAAATATTAATATGTTTAGTGAGACTTTTTTAAAAATAAATTAATACTTTTATTCAGCAAGGATGCATTAATTGATCAAAAGTGACCGTAAAGACATTTTAAACGTTACAAAATATTTCTATTTATGCTGTTCTTTTGAACATTTATCAGTTTCCTATGTTTTTAGGGAGTTACACCACATGACATTTTTGACCTTGACCAAAGAGACTTTTTGACCTTGACAGACTTTGATATCATTTCCTGCTTTACTGATGAATTAATAATGAAATATTATACTAAAATACTTATGGTTTATTTTAATTATTATGTTTTATTATGATATCAGGACAGTTGTCACTGTTACATTTTATGCCCACCAAAACATATCAAACTTCATTTTAATGTATAAATTAAATCATAGACAAGGTGTATTCAATTCTTTGTATGCATGAATTACATTTTTTAATAATGTAATAGATCCGGACATTGTCATTGACCCATTTGCTACATTATGGTCGCATGATCTCATTACGTTGATTGCTTATTTCAGCGAGTGGTGTCAAGTTATCAGCTTGGAAATCCAATGATGTGTAAAAAATAAAAAAATAAAAAGATTACAAATTCACAGCTGATATTACTTCTGGTGCATTTGTCATACTATAAAATGTACTGTTTTGCATATTTGTTGTATACTGCATATTTTAGCTAAATTAATAAGTCATCCATGTATTCTATACTCACAATTTGTACACTGCACACAATATACAGTCGATACCACATACAGTAGTAAGAATAGTATGGCAGTGTGCAATTATGTATGTGTTTACCTCCCTTATGCCCTCATAAATGGTAATAATAAATATATCATGTCATTACTAGATGAACCAAATTATTCTATATATAAAACCAATATTTCATCTCTGCAGCTGTGGAAAGGGTACAGTACTTGGCTTGTTTTCAGCTGCAAGGAGAGCAGTAAAAAGAGATTTCAACACACCAAACTAGTCTCATTTTGTGAAGATTCTCAAAGCTGAATCCCTTAGGAACCTATTAAATGTTTGCTGTTTCAGATTGTTTCTGTCAGTGTGTTTATGCGTATACGTGTGAGAAAGAATGCACGGTAATGTTTGCTTTTATCATTCTGTCTTCAGAATGATCTTCAGAAGTCCTTCAGCTGCTCAGATTCAGGCTATAGATAAATTTCACCTTCGCCATCAAAAGAATGTCATTGATAACGAATCGGTTACCTAACGTAACCACGGTTCTCTCTAGAAGAGGGAATGAGTATTGCGTAAGCTAGGTTATGCTACGGGTAAGATTAATCTTTTAGAGAGATATTGAAAAAAATTATCCTTAATTTTGTATCCATTGTCAATGCAGTGCAGCAGCTGCAGACCTAGAGAAGGCTAACTGAGCTCATTGGTTGCTCTGCGGCAAACTGCAGCAGCCTATAGAACTTGAGTGAACTCGCGTCCAATGAGAGGCGCTCCCAGTATCATGGCATCATAGCCCACCAGAAGGGGCATGGCTAGAGTATTTATAAGCGAGGTTTGGAAGCTTCTTCCCTGGTTTTCATCGACTGAATCGAAAGTCGTTCGTGGCGCAAGCACGGCCGGTTACTCAATACTCGTTCCCTCTTCTAGAGAGAACAGAGGTTACGTTAGGTAACCGATTCGTTCTCTTACGAGAGGTTCTCTCGTATTGCGAGATTACGCTACGGGAACCCATTCTCAATGTCCACTGTATGAGCCCCAGGGGGCGGGAAAGGTGAAGGCGAATCTCGAGGGAGAGGCTCCGGTGAGACAGTCGCTTCCATCACTGGTTCCAACGGCCTTTGAGACGAAAGGCCATACGGCAGCTTCGGTTTTGAAGGCTTCAATTCGAGCCCGCAGGGTCGACATCGGAAGCTCCTTGCAGAGGTCGCATCTGAGGGGCTCGGCATGAGCCACAGGTGGTGCGAGGCATCTTTAAAAAGACGCTCGCTGCTCTTTTGTGATAGTTCGTTGAAGAACTTGCTTAGTAAAAAGGATACTTTGCCGGATGGCGTAGCTCGCACGGATGGCTGAAGGTGGCGAAGATGGCCGGCTTCTTCAAGCGCTGTCCTAGCTTGCTAGTTGCTCCTCGAAACGGCGACGTGGCTTCTGCAGAGATGCGAAGAGCTTCGCTGAGGAGATGAAAATCAGGGAAGCAGCCTCCGAACCTCGCTTATATACACTCTAGCCACGCCCCTTCTGACCAATGAGCTCGCTAGTTAGCCCACTCTAGGTCTGCAGCTGCTGCACTGCTGCTCACCCTAGACCGATTTATGTGCACAGTTACCAATGTAACGCAGCATCTCATTCCCTTCACAGGGAACGTCTCGGTTACGTATGTAACCCTCGTTCCCTGAAGGAGGGAACGGAGACGTAGTCGGACGTACAGTACTGATTGGGATTGCTTTGGGAGACCAATCTACTTCGAGTGTAATAAAACAGGCCAATGCAATCGCAGTGCAAGCATATAATGAGCCTTTTGTTTTTCCAAAAGGCTTGTTCAACTTTTGTGTGTCACATCTTTTAGGTGTGTTCGACATCGGCTGCGGCTGGATGTAACCGATCGGCGAGAGTAGCCGCGTGCAGGCGGAGAGTTTTTGCAAACGGAGACGTGAAGTCGGACACTTTCTGGTTGCCATAGTAGAGTCAACGTTTTTCAATCCGTTATTTGAAAAACACGACACACTATAACATTGTGACTACATGAAAAGACTGTTTACTGTTATAAAAAAAACTTATTTGTGAGCTTTAGTGGAACTAAAGGTGTGAGAATAAACACGACACGTACAGTACGTGATCGTTGTCATACGGTAAATCCAGCGAATCGTGGAACAGCTGTGTCATCATCAGAGCTTGTGCAGCCGCTCTTGAGAAGCTGCACTGGCTGAGTCCTCCGGCTACTCTTGAATCACTCTCGCGACACAGTCATGTGGAGTGAGCTCTGCATCAAGTCGGACAAAATTTCTAACTGGCATGCACTGCTTCAAGTCAGCCACCGATCGGTCTGAGCAGAGCTGCATGAAGTTGAACAAGCCTTTTATTTTTCCACTGAGGAGCCGAGCCCGGAATTAGCAGAGGTCTAGCAATAGTGGTGACGGGACTACGTCTCTGTTCCCTCCTTCAGGGAACAAGGGTTACTTATGTAACCGAGACCTTCCCTTTTGCCATACTGATTGGGAACCCATTAACAAAACACCTGATTTCAACAATAAAGAATTGTACATGGGGTGTATGGGATCATTGCTTTTTGTTTATAAAACTGGAATTGCTTCCATGTCTGGTTTCAGCAGTAGCTGTAATTATTGATAAATCAGGCTTGTCAAACTTACTGATTTGTGTTTTTTGTTTTAATCATCAGTCCTCTCCGCCAATAAGCTTGTGTGTGGTGGGTGTTCTGGTGCTATGGCTTCCAGGTGGATGCTGCACATTGGTGATGGTTGACGAGATTTCCATCGTCCATGTAAAGCACTTTGAAGGCTGAGAATAGCGCTATATATTCTATGATTTTTTTTATTCATATTTATTTATTTATACCCCATTCTTTCTCAATTACTTCACAGAAAAACTGGTCACTGAAGCCATTATCTATATTTACTATGATTACTATGGTCTCCTTCATACTAGTCTTTGTTTGGCCTAATTGAAAAGGTTGACCATATATGCTGAAATATGACTTTTATTACCAAGTTAGTCTTTAAAAATCTCATTAGATGACCCTCTGTGTGATCACCCTCAGCAGGGATCGAACACTAATGTGCTGTTTACAACATATTGCTAGGCAGCTGTAAACAGCCTACAGTTAGGCAATGAACTGTTACTGGTGAGAAGAATTGTTTATTCCTTTTATAAATATTAAAATTAGCCATTTATTGAACATTTGTCTCTTTTATCATATTACTGTAGGCATGTCATTAAAGGGAGGGATAGGGGGCCTGTTGTTAAAGTGTCTTGCTTTAATCTTTTCTCATGTTAATTGTGTGTCCACAAGGGTTGATTTTAATTTTAATCTTGTTTTTTAGCAATCGTGATGTATTTTAAAAATATGCATTGATTGTTTTTCACGCATACTCAAACTCATACTGCACACGTTTGGTATGGGTATTGTGGTTTGGCATGCATGTTTTGTTTTAACAACTACATGTTTGGAACTTCTCTGTGTGTGGAATGTAACTGATATACAGTAGAATGGAACAATACCGTTAATATAGGTATACGTTTTCATTGTAAATGCATCTGAAAAATAATAGAGGACACAGAGTGTTGTAGGACAAGTACATGATCCAAGTAATACTAAACTTGAGACGTGCATTATATTAAGTGCCATACAGCACTATATTAAGTGCCAACTTACGGTTAAGTCCCTATCAATAAATGCTAGAAAGTCATGCAAGTATTTCCTTTTTGCATAAAGGCTCATCCTGACAGCAAGCGAGTCTCTGTTAAACTACGGGCAGATGGAGCCCAATAGAATGTGAGCATTGTAGCAAATGCAACATATAATAATATACATAAAATGTATTAAAGGGGGCCGAAGGCCAATTT